TGGAAACTCATCAAAGGATTGACAGCAGAGGAGTGGGCTTGTCTTTAGCATTTTCCATCCTTCATTACTCCAGATGGATAGAAACAGGTCAAATACGGAATACTTTTGCCCCAAATCACTCAGAAAGTCTTTGGTCTTCCTGCTGTCCCAACCTTTTTGGAAAGATCAAGGGAATTACTTCCAGTCTAAGTGAGAAGAGGTTAAGGTCTCTCCTGCCCATCCTGAGGCCTGCAAGACCCATTATCAGTAGCAGATAATGCCTATTAAATTTCTATCATAGCAAATGTGTAATCCACTTAAGGGCAAAGGTAAGCATTATACCAAGCCCACTGCCTACCAGAGACCTCCTTCTGGGAGATGGTCCCTTTGGCCCAAGCTCTGCCCTCGCTTCCAGAAGACAAATCCCTCCCCTCCTTCTCTGGCCCCACTGTCTGCTCGGTAAAGACAGAGGTCTTTATGGAAATCTTCTCCACGTGCCTTCAGCTCAAACACCAGGATTCAGGCATTTGCCACGACGACTCTTTTTAATAGATGGCCCCAAGTTGGATACCCAACGCTATGTGAGTATCACAGAATCAACTTCATGACTGCACAGTCTTAACTGCAAGGGTGGACTACCTTTCTGGAAAGGAAAGGAGGAGCCCAGATCTCTTGAGTTCCATTTATGCTCCATCAGTAGATTTTGGACTTGCTGGTCTAAAGACCAGAATTTATTCTCTGATAAATTCTCTGACAAGGTCCTGAAGATTTTCAGAAAAAAAAAAAAAGATCTTTTTAGATTTGGGATCTTTTTAGATTTGTTTTATTGTAGAGCACACATATCAGGGCAAATGGCTGCACACACAACTACAAATCAGGGTCCTGATAAAGGGTCCTGAGACCAGAGATGATGCTTATGGGATTGCACCTGCTGATGTATACTATATTAAAAACTAAAACTGAGAAACTTTAAGATAATTAAAAATAACAAGTTCATTTCATGTTAATATAAAAACATTTTTAAATGAAAAAGAACTCCATTTCCAAAAAAGAAAATGAGAGAATGGTTCTGTCTTACTTCCCCCTCCCAATCCCCCAATTCTCTTTAATGTCTCACATAACAGGAGACAGCTGGATTACCTGCTTCGAAATTCAATCTACTGTGATACATTGTTTCGTTGAAGTATATGAAAAAAAGTATTCTCTCATAGACATGGAATGGAAAAGGAAGGAGTATTTTAATAGCCTCTCAGACAATTATGGAAATTTTCTTTGACACTACTCTAAAATGCAACACATGATGTTTCTTAGAAGTGGCTGCAGTGTGGAAGCTGAACTTTTCCTACTCTATTACGTGCAAATCCATTGACGGTCTTGCTCTTTGACGGTCTTTACCACACACGATTTCCTGACATCATCCTTTGGTCCCCTGGAAGATTAGGTTTCCTGAATTATGCAAATCTTCCAAATGCTAGCATCTTTCATTATACAATATCAAAAATAACATTCATTAGTATCACCGCTGATCTCACCAGAAAAGTCTTTAAGTAGAGGAAGCCATCAAGCTCCTGGGGCTGGACATAAGTTTTTTTCCCAATTTTGCTTGAAATCTCAAATTTTATATGGGTAACAATGACAATATTTTGATTGTTTTTCTTGAGGTGACAGGCTTTCTTCATTCGTTTTCAAGAAAAGTCTACCAAGTACACAGGTCTGAATAACTTATAGTTGTCAGTTCCTTCTAGTAAAATGTGTTCTATGAAAAGAAAAGGCAGCAAGTTCAGTAACAACTCAATCACTCGAGGTCTTTGCCTTGAGACAAGCATCATACTTCAGTATGTGCTAAAGTGCTTCATGTGTTCTTCCATTGTCACAGAGTATTAGAAGACCTGTACTGAAGGTCATGATTTTAAAAAATTAGTAATCTGATTGTTTCATGACATTATTTTTTTCCTTCATTTTTTTTTAGAGACAGAGTCTCGTTCTGTTCCAGGCTAGAGTGCCGTGGAATCAGCCTAGCTCACAGCAACCTCAAACTCCTGGGCTCAAGCGATCCTCCTGCCTCAGCCTCCGGAGTAGCTGGGACTACAGGTATGTGCCACCATGCCTAGCTAATTTTTTCTATATATTTTTAGTTGGCCAATTAATTTCTTTCTATTTTTAGTAAGAAGGGGTCTCACTCTTGCTCAGGCTGGTTTTGAACTCCTGACCTTGAGCGATCCTCCCGCCTCAGCCTCTCAAAATGCTAGGATTACAGGCGTGAGTCACCACACCCCGGCCGTTTCATCATATTCTTAAGCAAAACTTGCTTTTCTGTTTACGCATGTGTGACAGTGAAGAATAGGTAATTTGGTGCCATTGCCACAACTCATGCTATAGTGCCTGTAATTTACCCACCATTGCTTCTACATAATCAGTGCAAATATCACACAGTGAAAAAGCAAACATCATTCTAGTACTATTACAAAGATAGTTTTGACCTCATAGACTTCTTGAAATGGTCTTGGGAACCCCAAAAGGTCTGCAGAACACATTTTGCAAACAACTGCTCCAGGTCACCTAGAGAAAGCCAGCTGCAGTCAGCTGGTATTTCAACCGCCAGTCTGGGGAAGAGTCACTGCGGCTCAATCAATA